GGCTAAATGGGAGTGCAGTGACATAGCCATTACGCCAACTGCTGGTCCCTTTAACAATTCTTTATAAAAAAAATAAATTGATGACTACTGGCTCAGGACACTGTCACACAGAGGACTTGATATAAGTGTGCCTAATTTTTATAATTCATATGTTCATTTAAAACCAAGGTATTAGATGCTTTTTGGAAATAATGCTGCATGCACTATTAAAATATTACAACCCAAGTCTAAGAATAAAACCCATGCTAAATTATTCTTTACTTCTTTTATCTCTGAAGATGAACATTTTCAAAATGTGAAAACTGTCACTTATACTAGAACAGCTTTGATCAATTTATTCCCCTGCTTCAAAGTCTAAAATGATGAATGGGGGGACAAACAGGGGCACAATGGTAATGCAACTGGACCCACATGGAAAGGCTCCAGGTTCATGTCTCAAGGGCTTCTTGTGCACAGTGGGCATGCGTGCACACCTGTGATGCTAATGCTGGGAGCTGAACTGTGGGATGAAGACTCCCTTGGGGGTGTCTGTCTCTTTTTTCTCTCTCACGGAGAATATAAATTAATCAACTTTAAAAAAATAAAAAGACAATGTATTTCTTAGTGTACTGCACTCATAGCTCTCTCTCTGGATGGCCATACCTGCAAAGATCTGGCCTCCACGCCCTGCACACCTGCAAGCTGACTTTATTGACTATTTTCCAAACTCAACCTTTACCCTAAGTCTATTCCTTTACCCTGTCCCCTTTTTCTCAAGCACTTGCATCATTCCACCTACTCATATTCAGAGTCAGTTTCTTTCCTTTTTTTTTTTTAAGAGAGATTTTTGCTATAGGGTGTGCATGCTCACCAGAGAGACAGAAAACAAAAAATCACCCCCCAGGGGGATGGCCATGCCACAATCCCTACTCCTCCATTCTATTCTCCTCATCTTGGGCACACATGCACATGCTATCGGTGTGAGTTTTCTTTTTTTAATATTTATTTTATTTTATTTGTGATTATTATTTTTAAATTTCACCAGAAAGAGACAGAGAGATGGAAAATGAGAAAGCAAGCCGCCATTTCCAGGACTCAAACTGCTGTTGGCCACGTGGGAGTCTAGCGCCTTAACTACCATATCACTTGCTGGTCCCTCCTGGTATGAGTTTTAAGCTGCTGGGCCTGGGACTTGAACTGCAGTCAACTACATGGGAGTCCAGTGACATAACCGCTATGCTATTTGCTGGTCCCTAGAGTCAGTTTCTGCCTTAGTGACTGCCCATACTTTCCCTGCACCCCAAAGCCCTTTCTCCTCTCTTCCATTTATCTAAATCCTAGTTATCCTCCAATGTCCAGCTATAGGCCCTCTCTTTCCACAATGATGTCTCAAGTGTCTTTAGACCGGGGTTTGTCAACTGCAGAACTACTGATCTCAGTCCAGATGACTCTATGTCACGGGGAGCTGTCTTGCATATTTGCAGGGTGTTTACAGCATCCCTGGCCTTTGCCCACTAAATGCCAGTAGCACCTCTTTTCCAGGTGTGACAACCAAGAATGTCTCCAGGTATTGCCAAATGTGCCCAGGAGGGACAGACTGTCCCTGGTTGAGAATTGCTCCTTTAGACCTGGGATCATTGAGCTATAGCCTTCAACCAAATGCAGTTTGCCAATATTTTGTAAAATGGACTTGGGCTAGGCCTTCCAAACCAGACAGAGGCCTGGAGGAGGTGGGGCTTATACATACTTATGTCCACACAGAGCTGGTTCAGGTTGGGGCTCTGCCTGGACTGAGCCCTTGTACCCCAGCTTGGGCCAACCTGTATGTATCCTGTAGGACATTTTAGGGTCTTATTTAAGATAAGTATAATTGGGGAAGGCGGTGTGGCGTGGTGGTTGGGGCACTGGACTCCCACATGGCTGACTACATTGCGAGTCCCAGACCTGGTGGCTTGCTTTCTCACTTTCCCTTTCTCTCTCTCTGTCTCTCTGGTCAAAATTTAAATAAATAGGAGTTCAGCAGCTCCAGCAGCGGGAGGAGAGGTAGGGTTTATTTGCTCAACTCTGCAAAGGTTCTAGGCGCGCTGCGGCCTCATCAGGCACCCAGCACGCACCCTGTCTGCAGCCAAGATGCCCAAGAGGATGGTCAGCTCAGCCGAGGGGGTGGCCAAGGAAGAGCTCAAGAGGAGATTGGCAAGGTTGTTGGCTAAACCTCCTGCAAAAGTGGAGACAAAGCCAGAAAAGGGAGCAGGGAAGGATAAATCTTCAGACAGAAGAGTGCAAACAAAAGGGAAAAGGGGAGCAAAGGGGAAACAGGCTGAAGTGGCCAACTGGGACACTAAAGAAGATTTACCTGCAGAAAATGGAGAAACTAAAAATGAGGAGAGTCCACCCTCTGATGAAGCAGGCGAGAAAGAAGTCAAGGCGGAGTAACATCATATACCATGTCTTATCAATGGTTCCTGTCTCCCTTCTTGTACAATCCAGAGGATTATTTTTATCAACTATTTTATAAATGCAAATTTTTTAGTAGCTCTAGAAACATTTTTAAGAAGGAGATAATCCCACCTCATCCCATTTTTTAAGTGTAAATGCTTTTTGTTTTTTTTGAGAGGTTTTTGCTACAGGGCACGTGCGCTCGCCAGCCAGACAGAGAGAGACAGAGAGATAGAAAGTGAGAAATCACCCCCCAGGGGGGATGGCCAT